CCTCGATTGCAAGCCCTTGCAATCGTCGTATGCCCGCGTCCAGATCGCGTCTTGTCACCTGCTCCCTTGCGATCGTCCTATGCCCGCGTTCGGATCGCGTCTTGTCACCTGTTCGGATCGCGTCTTGTCACCGCGTTCGTATGCCCTCGTTCGGATCGCGTCTTGTCACCGCGTTCGTATGCCCTCGTTCGGATCGCGTCTTGTCACCCATGATTGCAAGCCCGTGCAATCGTCGTATCCCCGCGTCAGGATCGCGTCTGGTCACCTGCTCCCTCGCGACGTCAGGAAGAAGTCGACCGTCCAGTCTTGAACTCCTCGCGCAAGGACGTTGTCCCCAAGTACGTTGACCGTGGGGTGCACCCACCCACCCACCCACCCAGCCCGTATCGCCTCGTGTACCTCCTCGTGACCCCACAAAGTCAGGGGTTGACCTTCGCTCGTCTTGGCGATGACGTCAACGACAGCCGTTTACCTCGGAATCACCGAGGAACTAGGGGCTCAAGACCGCACCGCGCGCTCGCGCTTTGGTTGGCTTCCTCTGTTTTTTGGTGGTGGGGGGTTGCGATCTCTTCAATTGCATTATGAAGCGGGTGAGATCACTACGGTAGGACATGTCATGGGAACTTCCGGGATTGTTGAGGATAGTTCCTGGTTGGTTTTATTGAGGCGACGCAACTGATCATCAGTTGTGGACACACACACACACACACACACACACACACACACACACACACAGACACACACACACAAATAAAAACTAGAGAGAAAATCGAAAAAAATAAATTAAAAAATCAGTTGGACCGTCCTCCTCGTCACTGCCTGCTCCCCGCCGCTACGTTGGCATCACACGTCACCGTGGTAGGAGCGGCGGCGTTTTGTCTTTGTTTTTCTTTTTTTTCTTTTTTTGGGAGCAGCGTCTTCTTGATGAAGTTGGACGAGGGAGGCAGCGGTGATTGTCGCGGATGACGCATCCATGAAGTATCCAGGAACTTCCCGCGGTGAACTGTCGCGGATGCCAATGGGTACATAGCGCATGGACAGTGATGGGGGCGGGGGAGGGGTGGGATGGGGTGGGGTAAAGGGGAGGCGAGTCCCAGCGGAGGGAGGTCGGGATCGGGGAAGTGGTTGATGAGCGTGGGCGAGGAGGAGCCAAGTTAGAAAAAGAATAAGTAAGAGTATTTTGAAAGGGGATTCCCCAAGGATCTCACAGATCAATACGCAAAAAAAAATAAAAAAAATAAAAAAATCAATACCTTTCGAAGGCCAAATACCTCCAATTTCTACGGTAGCCGCCGTGCTTGAATGAACCCCCCCCCCCCCCCCGCCCCCCACCCA